TGTTTTATACAGTTTGACAAAAAGCATGATAAGGAGTGTGTGTGTTGAACATATGAACGTGTCTTTCTGAATTCCAACAGGCTGTTGAGCTACATCTTTGTCTGTTATGACTATTATGTCGTACCGTCTGATTAAAAGAATGAATAAAAACTATTCTTCTGCCGCTGCTTAAAAAAAGCTGAAAAAATCACCCTTTGACCCGTTTTCTTGATTCCGATGGAGCGACACTAAAACTTCATCCCTTCATCAACACTCCATCGCTCATCACTGCAGCATCCAAACCGTGTTTCTAATGTGGACTCCAGCAACAACTCAGCCTAAAACCTGCCTGAAACACTGGTCGACACGTCGCCTATAAAACAACCTACAGAGAAAGGGAAACTCTGGCAGCCTGCTTATCTGATGGGCTCGTAGCAGCACAGAGTGGAAACCAGCACAAGGACGGTGGATTCAGAGGAGGCCGGAGAGGGAAGGACGCTGGACGAGACTGAAAGAGAGATGAGCTGGAATCCACAACCAACAGATCAGGGGAAGCACAAAGTCTCATTTGTCATCCTGTACTTGGGCCAAAACAACCCTTCAGACGACTGCGTGTGCAGGTATGTATGTATTCATGAGTGTGTGTGTGTGTGTGTGTGTGTGTGTGTGTGTGTGGTCTTACCTATGCAGTAACAAAGCAGGACAGAAAGCAGCACAGACAGACCTACTGCACTGAGGGCTGTACACCTGAAAGAATAAAAAAGAAGAACTTTTTTGTTGTTGTTGCCTCGTTGAGGATTCGTTTTGTCGTCATCGTTCTATTTGTAAATGAAGTAACTGCAGCATCGGAGACTCTGCATCGACACTGGGACGTGTGGAGTGAAATAAAGCAAATTATCACTAAATTAAACTAATATTTGAACCTGTCCAGAAGCAAAGGTTTTTTTGGCGTCAGATTTATTCTGAATTAGTGACTTTATTTGGGTTGGACATCACATTTACCTTCTTTTAGGGCTTAAATGCTCCGTATCTATGGGCGTTAAAGCAACATATCTGTTTGGTGGCCTGCTGGGAGAGCTGCTATCTCATCAACAGAGGATTGGTAATTCATGAAATATTTCTAATGGGGAGAACAACTGCTTCTCTGAGACTGCAACAATCTAAATTTGAAGCTATTTGGAAGGATTGGAAAAGGTCTGTTTCCCCTCTTTTGTTTAAGATTTATTTCATTCACCTGATTGTCTTTATGTGAAGGTTTTTTTATTCTTTTATTTTAATGTTCATGCTGCTTCATGTAATTGGATGAAATGTGTTACGGTGGAAATATAATCTGAAAAGGATGCTGCATCAGTCGTCAGGTGTTTAATTAATGGAATATTTATCCTGATATTAACTCACCAGAGTCGAACAAAACTCGTTTTAAATGCTCCGCTTATAGAAAACAGTGGATGAAACCACCTGGTCTCATCCGGGGTAGAACTGACAACACCTTATTCCTCTACAGCACGGTGGGAATTGCTTTTCTCTCTCTTGGGCCAGAGCTTCCAGCCACACATGACAAACCCTCACAGGTTCTGTTCAGCGGCTGTCCGAGTCCTCCTGCCAGCGAGGTGACAGCTGGCTGGCAACTGGCTGCTGCTTTGGTGGATCCAGTTACTTCCAGAGATTTACTAAACCGTGAGACGTAAATCAGATCTGCAGAGCTTTCTGTGTTTGATGTCACGATGGTAATATGAAGTGTCCTCATGGGGCTTTCTGGCTTATGGGAAGTGGGCGTCTCTGATATGGACGCATCCCCAGAGCATTCAGATCAGTCATCAGTCAGGTACACATCACCTGGTCTATTGGTGTGATGCAGCAGCTTTAATCTCTTTTCTAACCGTAGTCAAAATGGCTTATGCTCAGGAAAACATTCACTTAAGAGAATTAAATGCCACCTGATACGACAGCACATGAAGAAAAGCTTGATGAACAACAAAGAGAGGGGAAAATAGACATGAGGAAGAAAAAAAACAGCCTGGAATTAAAAAGTTCTACACGGTGGGCACATCCAAGGCCGGCGCACATGAATATTTTATTACCGCTTATATGCATTAGAGTAATATTTGTGAAAAGAGAATGAGAAGGGTGGGCTCTGACAGGATAAACTGTCCTTCACATCTGCTGTCTGCCATCCACCAGAAGCTGCATAATTAGATGGCAGGACACAGGATGCAACGGGACACGCTGTATAATGAGGGGCGCTCTAAAAACTAACACCAACGCTCACGGTTTATATTTGGAATCAGGCAAGACTGAGCTGCAAAGTGTTAAAAACAAAAGGAATGAACTGTGAAGCATCGATAAATATCAGCTTCATCATGTTCACGTGAAGCTCCTCTCTCTGCACTTCTTTAGAGACGATGTGCTCGGGCCGTCTGCTTGGTAACGTGGTGACTTTCAGAAGAAAAGCCTGAAGTGTAGTTTGTTATTGCATGATGTTCTCCTTCATTCACACCCATACCCAGGTCACAAAAATGGCCCAGCAGCAGCCAGACTCTGATACATGTTGTCTAAAGATCACTTTACAAAGACTGGTCTGATTTGACGCATGAACATGGAAACTAGCCCTCAAATGACAGATATAGATAAAGGATATTTTATTCTATTCTCAACATTTTCTCAAATCTGGCAGCTGTGTGTAACTTCCACTTTCTCTGTGACCGGGAGGTAAAGTGTTGTTATTTGTTGAAAAAAATAAAATAAAAAACGAATGTATACCCAAATGTGAGTATATAGAAAATGACCGTTGTATTTATTTATTTGTTATTTAAACGGGACGGTGCGTATTAATGTACGGACAATCTCAGGTTGCAGGAAATACGCTGGATTTAGCACGAGGCGAATTTCCATCAGCCTGGCTCATTTCTTATCGATGAAAACAACAACTGTGAAGAAATGAAGAGTTCATTTGTCAACTCCATTTTTGTAGATTTTCAGAAAACTTATTTTTGTTGTTTGCTTGAGATAAAATCATTAAAACTGAGTGGATTTGACTCTGTAGAAATGACAAATATTGAGATAAGTTGAGTTTGACGATGCAACAGTGGGTTTTCTGGAAGTTTGTGAATCTGTTTGTGTGCAAACGAACTCTTGGAAGTGTGAAAGTCCACCTCACCTCCATGAGCAGTACTTGGAGGATTTCTTGAACTTGAAGGCAGAGCGGGACAGGGTGTTCCTTGGCAGCGGCCTGGTGGGAGGCGAGTACACTGAGCCTGTCGCCATCGTGTAGCCCGGAGTAGCTGTTGAGAAGAGGGGGGTGGTGCCTGTACCTGTCTTAAAGAGGAAGTGCCTGCAGGACGAGACAGAGAGGGACACATCAGTCACTATAGGTAATACTGACACTGTTTACAGACAATGAGCTGGTCACACGCTGTTGCCCCCTGGTGGCAGGGTCTCACTACTGATCGTGATCCATCTTCATCACACGGCATTTCCATGTGAACAAACCTTCCAAAAAGCACAACTAGGAGGGTAATGGCACCACCTGATTTATGCACACCGAGGACTGAAAGCAAAACCCAGGTTGTAATGAATCCTTGTTTTTCTGGATCTGCCGTCAGAGCAGCTCCCAGGTCCCACCTGTTTGGGACTCGAGCTTCCAAAAACCAGGAGCCTCTCGGAGTGTGTGTGTGTCTGTGAAGTTGGCAGCGTTGTGTCTCTGTGCAGGCCACGGCGGCTGAGGCTGTCATAATCTCACACAGCCTTTCAGCGTGCTGCAGGTGTGTGCACAGTGGGGTGACAAATTCTTTATTATGCTCATTAACCTGACAAATGAAGCCGGTGACATGCGTTTTTGTTTTTTTTTTCTCTCTCTATGCTACGTCGCTAAACTCAAGCAGAACCACCTTCTGCCACCAGTCCTGCACTCATTTATAATCCATAATTGATCCACAGTTAATTCTTGTGTAAAATACAATTGCAAGGTTAACAACGTTTGTCAGGGATGTCTGGGAAATTGCACCGTATTGATTAGTATTAGGATGATTGCTCTAAGAACGTATTTGAGGGCAAGTTTCCAATTACTGGCTGGTGGGTACGCAGGACGACACAGTCACGGCTTACAAATGGTTCTCGGTGAGACCTTCACCACGGCATGGACGAGTAATTCTGGAGGAAATGGGTTCCCAGTGGGGAGGCAAGTAGTGATGATTGTACGCAACGAAAAACACAAGTAGACATTCTCTGTATGATTTCTTTTGTTGATTGAAGACAACTGGCGCTTTCTGATTTCACCAACACAAGGAACTACTTAATGTGCGATCGCCCCATTAGAGGAAGCCACTGCACCAGGATCAGCTATAAGGGTGAGCACATAAAAGCCCAGCAGTTTAGTTTTATTTTCTTTAATTTTCCAGAAATGTCTTTCTTTTGGAAATTTACACATCGGAGAAAATTACTGGCACATACATGTACGCCTGCAGTAATTACCAAGGTCACAATGTCTAATTAATGACAGGACCCTGGCTAATGAGCATCTGTAATTACAATTAGACTGCTCTCTAACAAGTCTGTGTGATTAACAATTAGAGCCTATTATAACAAGGGCCCTTCAATTAATACCTGCCTCCGGGCGAGATGTGAAGGGAGAGGGAGAAGACAGGAAAGAGAGAGAGTTCACAGGGGATGAACGGAGAGAAAGACATTACCTGTTATTGTGTTTTGTTTGTGAAGTCATTTCTGAGCATTTAATCAAAGGAAGGAGATGTACTCGGTGGTCACGTGACCAAACAACAAGAGGGGATTATATTTCACATGATGGAATTACACTCAGAGGTCATTTCATCGGCTCCCTTCTTCATACGGGAGGCAATCTCATCCCAGGACTTCTGTACATCATCGCAGTATTATATTATATTAAAACTGAATCATCAGTGTAAGCACGGGGACGTTCCTCGCTAATGACGGAGAAAAATAAGGGCAATACTTCCAATCGTACTTCTGCGACTTTGCGACGCGGCGTAAAGTGTTTCACAGCTAATAGAAAACATGTTTTCACTCCAGCAATTTTTCAATCTGACATTAGCCTTTGGGAAATTATTTATTTCATACAACAGAGTAACAAGTATCCACTTAATGTGATGATCACCAGCTAAAGGTCACACACAACCCATTAGTGGGAGTTTTCACTGGGAGTGGAATGCTGTGAACACTCCAGCGGTTCTTAGTCCTGCTCCTCGGGGCCTGCTGCCTCCTATCTGCTAGTCGGTGCTGTTTACTGGATGTGAAGGGAGGCGCTCTGCCTCGCTTTAACTTTAATCTCAGGTAATCACGAGTACGACCACCAGCTGGAGGAGTACGCCGTAAACGCTGCCCGGCCCAGTGGGTGGATGGTGTTAGAACGGTACAGAGGTATGAATGATCAGCTTCTAATGTCAACACGCAGGAAGACGTACGAGGCGTGACGATAAAGAAACAGGACTGTGGATGCTGCTGATTCAGCAGAGTAATGAAGAGCATCACAGTTCAGCCCAACACGTCTGCACTGTGTGAACACTTCAGGTAACCTGCTGGCTTTCACTGAACACGTGGGTTCTAACAAAGGACTTCAGGTTCTCTACTGAATCTAAGCAAAGAATTTAGTCAATCTAAATGTAAATACCAGTATATCTGCACCCTCAATATTCCTGTAAATAATACCACAGCTCTATGGCTCTCATTTAAATTTAATTATTCGCTCCACAATATTTTTTGCTTCTGCTTTGCACTACTAGTTATTTTTAATTTTACTTACTGTTATTTTTTAGCTATTTTAATATTTTTATTTTGCACATTGGACCTCACTGTATATGTATTGTTGCACCGACCCACCAGAACTAATTCCTCGTATTGTGTGAACTACACCTGGTGATAAATCTGATTCTGATTCTTAAAAAGGTGATATTTCATCCAAATCATTTTATTCTACATATCTTGGTTTTACACGAAACAGATTACGTTAAAAAAAAAAAAAAAAGCATACTAATGTCAAAACAAGTTCAGAGAGATCTCAGCTGAACTGGGCTGAACTGCAGGCTGGGCTTATGTGGATCAAGTATAAAGACTCATCTATAAACGTCCATAAAATATCTGAGCCACGACGTTCTTCCAGTATTGCTAATGCGTTTGGATACTCGTAGAGATGCTGGTGTTGATTTAAGGTTTATTCAATTTTAGTGAAATAAATAATCAAAGATAATAAACATTATATATATATATATATATATATATATATATATATATATATTTATGGCATTTTTGCTGTCATGCTGCACAAAAGCCATGTTGTAGGTTCTCTCTACTTTTAGCCACGGTTGGTCTGTTTCCATAGCGATGCAGGAAAAATGTGACGCACACAATAAAGACTTTAAAAAAAACCCTCGTTGGGGTTGATTGAGGCCTTCTTCTGTCCTCACACGTGGTTTCATCCACTGTGTGTTTTGTTTGTCTTCTTCCATTTGTGCAGGGTTTGGTTTTGGTAACAGAGCAACAAAAATAAACCGTAAATATCAGATTATGTTGAACACACACATAATGAAGCAACACCAATATTTTCTAATACATTTGTTCTGCTTTGGTTTTATAAGAACGGTACAGAGGAACCTCACGGACGCCATCGTTTCCCTGATCCAGCGGGATCTATAAACGGACGCTGTATCCTAACATAATGCGACTAAGTCTCTCCAGCTCTGCAGACCGTCGACCAAAACAGAATTAAACTAATAGTAAACTGAAGATGACAAACCTTTTCATAACCCCCTCAGACCTGAGCATCAGCAAACACACACTGACTCTCACACCTTTTTATCCAGTCAGCAGGTCCGACCAATCTACGTTTCCCTTCTTAATGTGTCTCACACACATGCACACACTTGTCCTCATGCTCCGGCTCTCGGTGTCTCTTTCTGTGAGCATGTTTGCTATGAACTTACTACAGAACCAACCCTGGAGTTTTTAATGTATGCACACGCTGCTGGTCTGTCTCCAGCTGTGAGCGCTCTAACCGACACAGTGCATCCTCCAACACCTCACTCTAGGTTTAGAGCCAAAATGTCCTCACGTGCAGAAACGTCAACGGTCTGAAATTCAAGCACCACAAACAGACAGTCATAATTATTATAATATTTGATCTATTGCTGATTGATCCTTGACAGCAGCGTCACTAAAGCACCAGATTACACGGAGCACTGCTCTATACATAAAGAAATAAGAAAAAAAAGGACCTCAAACTCATCTTTCCTCTTCATTGTAATGAGTCGCCTTCAATAAGAGCCGCCTAAAATGAGTAATGCTGAGATTAGTGAGCTGAGAATGGGCTTAACCCGGGTTTTCAGTCTCAGCACCGCCGCTCTCTCTGTAGTAAACTGGATCACCATGGTAACTAATGGCAGCTCTTCAGGAGGCTGAGTACCTGAGCCACGCTGTGAGTGAGCATGATCAGAACAGGTGCTGCCGGCACGTCACCGCCACGGCTGTTCAGTTATTCTATCTAAAGGTAAGAACTGAGAATGACTCAGAACAACAGAACGGGCATATTTATCTATAAATATATACATGTGTGTGTGTGTGTGTGTGTGTGCTACACTGTGTCTGTCATCTAGTTATTCAAACACTTGAATGATTATTTTTTCTGATCATTTTTCATATAAATGCTCACATATACAGGACAGCGATGGAAGTTCAATTCACTTCTTGCTTACAGTCTCAAATACAAAATTCCCAGCTGTGCTCCACATCCCACAAACCCATCAGTACGTTGTGGGTAAATCTGAGATGATGCTTTCTTGTGAGACCAGAGAAAAACATGGATTTCTTTTTTTTTTTTTTTTGAGGGGAGGGGAAATATATTCAAAAAGACTTTCTGTTTCTCTAAAGACAATAAATAAAAATGTGTGTTTACCACATTCTCCTGGAAGCAAAGGGGGACTGAGCAGCCTGGATTTTTCTTATTCAAATTACATACTTTCAAAGTTGATGTGAGACGCTGCTTCAGAAGGAAATAGCCGGTAATTGTCATTTTTCATTACGGTGAAATGTCAAACACCGACACATGTTTTTATTCCATTTCAGCTCCACTTTACGTTTGAACTCGTAACGAACGGCTGACGTCGTGAGTGCCAGTAATTATAACTGCAGGTACACACACGGAGACCGAAGGTAGAGCAGTGCATTGTGGGCATTTATTGGACCCCATGGATGTGAGAAGGGAGATGAGGTGAGATCTGACAGGAGAGTGTCAATGTCCTTATTTAAGGGCGGTAATGCCTCCATTGACACGCTCTGTCTCAAAGGATAACGCTGTTCGTCACACAC